ACCCCCAGCATTTACACCAAAATCGGTAAGTATATGGATAAGGAAGGGGTCTATGTACATTGGGGGGGGGGTGGGGAGATTTTTCAGCATCTAACATGTATTTTTGTACAGAATTCTCACATTTGGTCACATGGTCTGGGGACTTGTGTGAATGAATTCTGTTTATTATTGGTGATAATTACTGTGTATGTGTCAGGTGTATGGCTTAGACCTGCTTAAGTTTACTTAGTGATCCTGCCAGGAACACACTTCCTGTCCTGGGGTGACAACGCTGACTTACTGCATCTATGGAGAAGAAGTGTTGTCATCCTAGCCTGATTAAAACTGCAAACCCCTTTACCTCTCCTTATCTCCATTACACAGAGAGGATTGCTTTGTAGTTCGGACAGAAGCTGATAACACTGAGATCTCAGTCAGGGCACAGGAACTTATAAGGTCACTTGATTTCTGACAGGATTAACAGGTATTTTTCTGTATCTGCAGAATAATGTATTTAGCCTGAAATAAGCAAAGGAAATGAATGCAGCCTCCACACCTAAGAATTATTCTATTATTGGGAATAGATATACACCATGGGGTTGGTAATGCAGTGTAATGCTTCCTCTCACCACTAGAGGAAGCAGGGGATGAATGATCCCTCTTGGGATACATTTCTGCACATTATTATTATTATACAGTTATTATATAGCGCTAAAAAGTTTGCTCAGCGCTGTACATTATAGTGGGGGACAGAACATGAGACAATACAGTAAGAAAACAAAACACGGGGGGTTCAAGGGCCTTGCTCTTTCGAGCTTACAATCGAGGAGGGTTGGGGTCACCAAGCTGTTACCATTTTCTGTATCAATCACAAACATTGATGAATGTCTTTTTCTGTTTCCAGACTTTGAAGGAACTGGAAGATTTTAGCATGCAGAGAAATTTATGGCTGATACTTTTTCCTACATCAGTGAAAATCTGAAGCAGAAGCTAATGGTGTCTCTCAATTTACAAAATCAGGGGGCTAATTACGTGCATTGAAAGTTAAAATTTTTTTAACTTTTCTTTTTTTTTTTTCTTTTTGAAAGAGATGTACAAATAACATGAATGGCACAGAGGATACATTACTTCATTACAATATTGAGAACAAGATAAAGTTGTAAGTAATTCAACAATAACAAACAACGTATTTATTAATACAATATTGCTCAAACTCTGCCTACCCCAGAGGCAATCAGACTGTAAGTAGGTATCTGAATAACATTAGTCAGGGAGGAGAAAACATGTAACAGGGAAGACGAGGTAGAGAAAGATTACCAAGGAAGTCAGTTTGTGTATACAAAGCAGCATGCGGGAGCTCTTGGGCATGATATTGACACAGCTCCAGATGATCCATATTGGCTCACAGTTGATATGATCCAGAAATATTTAGACAAAATAAAGGTGAATACAGCACCTGGGACCGGATGGCATACACCCACGGGTCCTTAAAGAATTGAGCTCTGTCATTTTAAAGCCATTGTTTCTCATTTTTAGGGACTCTTTAATGGCTGGCATAGTACCACTGGATTGACGTAAGGCCAATGTGGTGCCAATATTTAAAAAGGGGTCAAAATCTTTACCAAGTAATTATAGACCTGTTAGTTTAACTTCTATAGTTGGGAAGATACGGGAGAGTTTTATAAAGACCACATAGATGAGTTCTTGCTGGGAAAAAAAAAATATATATTTTATTAGCAATAGACAGCATGGATTCATGAAAGACAGAAGTTATCAAACAAATCTGATTTCTTTTTATGAGGAGGTGAGCAAAACCTTGGACAGAGGGGTGGTGGTGGACGTGGTATACTTGGATTTTGCATAAAGCATTTGCTACAATTCCCCACACATGGCTAATGTGTAAGGTAAAATCTACAGGCTTGGAAAAATCTGTATGTAAATGGATGGAAAACTAGCTAAAAGATCGTATTCAGAAAGTAGTGGTTAATGATTCATACTCTGAATGAATGGTCTGGGGTCATCAGTGGTGTACCCCAAGGTTCAGTGTTGGGACCCTTACTTTTTAATATATTTATAAACGATATAGAGTCTGGGATTAAAAATACCTTTTCAGTCTTTGCAGATAACACCAAGCTGTGCAGTGGAATAACATCCTTACAGGATGTCTTCAATTTACAAGCCGACCTCAATGCACTGTTTAATTGGGCAACTATGTGGCAAATGAGGTTTAATATTGATAAATGTAAGGTTCTGCACTTGGGGGCTAAGAATACGCATGCATCATACATACTAGGGGGGGTACAACTGGGGGAATCAATGGTGAAGGATCTGGGACTTCTGGTAGATCACAAGTTTAATAATGGCATGCAATGCCAAGCTGCAGTTTCTAAAGCGAGCAAAATCCTCTCTTGTAGTAAAAGAGGTATAGACTCCAGAGAGAGAGAGATATCATATTACTCCGGTACTAATCCTTAGTAAGACCTCATCTGGAATATGCAGTTCAGTTTTGGGCACCAATTCACAAAAAGAATATTGGGAAACTTGAGAAAGTACAGAGAAGGGCACCCAAGCTTATAAGAGGCATGGAGGAGCTCAGCTATGAGGAAAGATTAGAGGAACTGAATCTATCCGCTCTTGAGGAGATTAAGGGGGGATATGATCAACATGTATAAATACATCAGTGGTTCATATAGTGAACTTGGTGTAGAGCTATTCACCCTGAGGTCATCACAGAGGACAAAGGGGCACTGTTTACGTCTGGAGGAAAAGAAATGTAATCTCCAATCACGGAAAGGTTTCTTCACAGTGAGAGCTGTGAAACCATGGAATAGACTTCCTCAAGATTTGGTTCTGGTCAGCTCAGTGCATTGCTTTACAAAAAGTCCTGGATTCTTTCCTAGATACACAGAATATAACTGGATACTAACATGTATAGGTAAAGTTGATCCAGGGAATATCTGATTGCCTCTCAGGGGATCAGGAAGGAATTTTCGTTCCCCTGCAGGAGCTCATTGGATCATGCTTTGCTGGGTTGTTTTGTTTTTTTTTTTTGCCTTCCTCTGGATCAATTGTGGGTATAGGATTATAACTTTATTTTATGATTGAACTAGATGCACTTTTGTCTTTTTCCAGCCAGACTAACTCTCTGTAACTATCCGTGAAATTTCCTTGCTACTAAATATTACACGGCTAGCGGTATTATAACAAAGAGGAAGCAACTGCAACTCCGCCACAAGATGGTAGGCCTTGTAAAATGACAGAGTGGAGTCAGCACATGCTGAAGAGCACAGTGTGCAGAAGTTGCCAATTGTATGAAGAGTCAAGAGCTAAAAACCTTCAAACTTTGTGTGGCCTTCAGATTAGCACAACAGTGTGTAGAGAGCTTCATGGAATGGCTTTCCACGGCTGAGCAGCTGCATCCAAGCCTTACATCACCAAGTGCAATGCAAAGCACACCACCACTGGACTCTAGGGTAGTGGAGACATGTTCTCTGGAGTGACGAATCACGCTTCTTTGTCTGGCAATCCAATGGAGTGTCTGGGTTTGGCTGTTGCCAGGAGAACAGTACTTAACTGACTGCATTGTGCCAAGTTTAATGTCTGGTGGAGGGGGGATTATGGTGTGCGGTTGTTTTTCAGGGGTTGGGCTTGATCTCTTCGTTCCAGTGAAGGTAATTGTTAAGGCGTCAGCATACCAAGACATTTTGGACAATTTCATGCTCCTAACTTTGTGGGAACAGTTTGGGGATGGCCCGTTCCTGTTCCAACATGACTGAGCACCAGTGCACAAAGCACGGTCCATAAAGACATGGATGAGCAAGTTTGGGGTGGAGGAACTTGACTGGCCTGCACAGAGTTCTGACCTCAACCTGATAGAATACCTTTGGGATGAATTAGAGTGGAGACAGTGAGCCACATCTTCTCGTCCAACAACAGTGCCTGACCTCACAAATGCGCTTCTGGAAGAATTGTCAACCGTTCGCATGGACATACTTCTAAACCTTGTGGACAGCCTTCCCAGAAAAGTTAAAGCTGTTATATCTGCAAAGGGCGGGGCCAACTCAATCTTGAACCCTACGGACTAAGACTGGTATGCCATTAAAGTTCATGTGCATGTAAAGGCAGGCATCCCAATACTTTTGGCAATCTAGTGTGCATATGTATAACCTCTGGGCTAGAAGCAGTTAAAATATGGACCTAATGAGAAAAAAATAGATAAAAACCAGTAGAAAAATATCCTTACAAAACTGGAAGTGAGGTTTGGGGTCCAAGGCCCGTAGTTGACAAAAGGAATGCTGTTTGGAAGTAGAAAGTTGTGGCAGGTTTTTGAACCATAGGTATGACGAACACAAATATCCCACCCCTGCCCTTCTCACCAAAGGACTGGCCAATCTCACACCATGCTGTCACTTATGCAACAATGCCACTCTCAGCTGCACCCTGCAGCGCAAAGATTTTCCTGCTCGTGGGACTACAATCTAGTTGCCAGCAGCCTGAGAGCAATTGTCACTGGGTTAAGTTATCTAAGTCATTAACCGTTTAAACGCCACCACCTTTTTACCAAAAAGGAGGAAACTCGCAATCTTAACCACTTGCCTACCAGGCACTTATACCCCCTTATTTACCAGGCCAATTTTCAGCTTTCAGCGCTGCCGCACTTTGATTGACAATTGCGCGGTCATGCAACATTGTACCCATATGAAATTTTGAACATTTATTTCTCACAAACAGCGCTTTCTTTTGGTGGTATTTAATCGCCACTGGGCGCTTTACTTTTTGCGCTATAAATAAAAAAGTGCAAAAAATTTGAAGAAAAAAAAAGTTTCTTTGTTTCTATTATAAAATTTTTCAAACAGGTATTTTTTCTCCTTCACTGATGTGCATTGATGAGGCAGCACTGATGGGCACTGATAGGCGGCACTGATGTGCAGCACTGAGGTGGCATGGATAGGCGGCACTAATATGCAGCACTGATAGGTGACACTGATGATGGGTACTGATAGACGGCACTGACTGGCATCACTGCTGGGCACTGACTGGCACAACCCCTGGGCACTGACTGGTGGCACTGACTGGCAGCACTGCTGGGCTGCACTGGTGGGTGGGCACAGGTGGGTGGGCACAGGTGTGTGACACTGCTGGGCACAGGTGGGCAGAGCTAGTGGGCGCACTGCTGGGCACAGGTGGGCGGAACTTGTGGGTGGCACTGCTGGGCATCGATCATCAGGGCACTGATCATCAGTGCCCTGATGATCGGTGCCGATCCCCGCTCTGACAACTGCCGGTTCTCGGCAGTACTTTCCTCACGATCTGACAGCGTGAGGAAAGTGCAGCCGAGAACCGGCACTTGCATTTCCCTCTGATCAGCGTGTCATTGGACACCGCTGATCACGTGGTAAAAGGCCGCTGTGATTGGCCTTTTACCACATCACGTGATCAGCTGTGTCCGTAGGACACAGCGATCACGGAGATTGCCGGTGGAGAGCGCGTTCTGGGAGGACGTCATATGACATCCACTCAGAACTGGCCGGCCGCAGTGCAGCCGTAATTCGGCTATCTGCGGTCGGCAACTAGTTAATAACAATTATGATTTTAGAATAAATGTCTGCAACATGCACTGTTACCAGAGACAAGTATGTTCAGAGATTTATACTACAGTAGTCCTTCAAGAGACAGATTTTTAGTTTGCATTAAAAGCTTTAGAGACAGATTCACTACTTTTCTAAATATGATTTAATAATGGAAAAAGGTCAAAATGGTGCAAATAGAATATTTACAGAAAAGAGTGTTACACGGAAACAAAAAGACAGTAAAGCAAGAGAAAAAAAAGTAGTTGCTAAAACCAGGTGATTTGCAAGTATGCTTCATTTTCAGCGTGCAATTGATGAAGCAAAAACGGTACAGTGGCTCTCTCAAGTCCAGTTAGGTATTCCTTGGTTGATGTTAAAACAAAAGCTGTCAAAAGGTCCTGCACATTCCCTTTTTCTGTGGTATCAAGGAGGTGTTGACCATCTAACCAATCATCTGGTTTAAGGGATGGTGGCTGGAAGGTCACATTTATGATCAATTACCAAATACAGTTTCCTATAAGTATCCATATTTCTGAATACCTACTGTTTACAGTCTAATATGCAGATTATTGTCCAGCATGAACCTAGCTTCTAAATGGGTATAGATATGACAGGTCTCAGATATCTATTTCTCATAGGGGGGGTGTGGAGGCCTAATCCACTCTGGTACCTCCTGCATAGGGGTAATTGAGTTCAAAATGCTACCCAATAACTGATTAAGATGAATATCTCTATATTCTGGCTGTTCTGACATTATTTCATAAGTTATGAAATAAGTTGAAGTTTTATAGTTTTGGCTGATAACCAGTCTGAGAGGTAAAATCAGCAATTCTCTTCAGCTGAGCCATTTATGACCAGATCTGTTCTCTGAATTGCTCAAGCTTGTGAAGAGGACTTTATTAGGGTTTACAGACTTAAATTGTGGACTGGGTAACGGAGAGATCTGTGTGTCCGATCAATGCAATGATGGTAGGAAGTCCTGGCATCAGTTAACAATTGTGTACTGTACCAGGTTGCTTTCTGGGGGGATGTAGGAGTCCACTGCTGCCATTAGGCCTCATGTTAAACTGTCATGGGTGAATTCTGACAACATGGCTGACACACACAGAGCTTTGCGAGTTCCCAGTCTGCGTTACCATTACAATAGGTTTCAACTATTTCTTAATCAGCAACAGGGTAATCTTACCCAGACTCACCTGTAGGATGTAATCATCCACCAAAGCAGAGCCAAACAAACTTTACCCTTGAACAGGGCAAGCTTCCCATGTGCTTCTTCCAATGCAACTCCATTGACCAACATTTCAGTCATGAGATCCTATGTATCTGTACTGACAAGTCATCCCCCCACACTTGAGAAAGTTGGTGAATTGAGGCCACTGAGAAATTAAGGGCACATACGTCTTCCAAGCATCTGCCTGACTCAGTATCCCCACTAACAGGGTTTCTCTCTCATCCAAGGAGCACAAACCTTAGGCTCCTTTCACCTGGAATGGAGCCTGCTCTGATCAGCATGGAATCCATGAGTAGATCCCCTGCTGAATCAGAGCCGAACAGAATGGATGCCAGATTTCTTTACATTTGTGGCCAGCAGACATGGGCAAATCCACAACAGCTAGATGTAAACAGACTCTGTTGTCCATTTACATTACCTCCGGTCTATCACATTTAGTACTGGAAAAACAGAAAAAGACCTCTTTCATTTTTCTTTTCCCAGAACTGAATGGACTGAGGTAGGTGGATGTATATGGACACAAGCCTGTTTACACCTGCACGTCCATCAGGATGCATTGAGCTTCTTATCAGGTAGACCTGAAAATTCCGACAGGCTAACCTGATCAGAAAGCCCATGGGAAAGGGCCCTTAGATTCTTCTACAGCCCCATTCACCGGTTGTATATCTGCCCTCACCAGAGCAAAGAAGGCTTTAAACAAGGCCTCCAGAAATTTGTTTATAGCACCTTTAAATACTGCGACCTTGTTTACTTGGACCCATAAGAGTTGTCTTGAGAGGAAACAGCCAAATTTACAGGATATATATTCCATTTCTTAGTGAACTCACTTTCCATGGGGTGGTATTGTGCAAACTGTTTTGGTGAAAGTAAATGAGGTAAGCTCCCAGTGCTCAGCTTGACTGGCCTACTCAAAGAGTCGTTAGAGACAGAGCTGAGGTAATGTCAGTAGCCCTGGATATGAAAAGTTCTCCACAGTTATTTTACCAGCATGGGGTCTGCAAAGTGCCCTGTGAATGACCAAATGCCTGAAGGTATTCCAGACTATCCCCTAAATGTCTATCCCAGCAAGGCCCAGTTAATACTCCAAAAGCCAGATAGAAGACAACATGCTTTGAGGACATGAGCAAAATAACAGACATGGAGGTCATAGGAGGAGTTATCCTGGGAATATGAAAGATTTATCACATGTGGAGGAAGAACACTGAATAAGAAGATCATATGTTTTGGTCCACACTAGTGGTGATATAGGACAATGAGACGCCAAAAGTGATTTAAACTGTGAACTTTTAAACTTTCGGGGGAGAAAGTATAGTTTTGGGGTAGAATTAACACTTGTGTATATATTATTTGGTAACACCGGTCTATTTATACATTTATCCTGGGCTTGCCTACAGTTTTTTCCCCCGTCAGTGTCCAATCTTCTTGGAGTTGTCAGTATATCCCAAAGGTTAGAAGTTTTCCTGTGTCCTTCAATAGACCAGAAAGAACCTCTCTGTTTTTTCTTACACTTCACTATACTGTCTACAACAAGAAAACATTGTGACTATATTTTAATGAATACATTCTAACCCAGAATTCCCCTCCAACCTGTGATTGGGCAGTAAAGGGAAAGTAGTGTTTAGTGGAGTGCATCCCTGTGCTCCACCCTTCCTGTAAGCATGTTCTCAGACAGCACTGTGTCCAGGAAAGAAAAAATTCAGACTGGCTCAGAGACTGAGTGGAAAAGCGTTAAAACTTCTAACCTTTTACTGCTTTCATTGTGCCACATTTGGATGTTTTCTTCACATTATTTGATGAGATGGGATGTGAGGGGAAATTTCCCTTCAATACTTGAATCACTAAACTGGAAGAAGCATGTAGGAAGTGAAGTTAGAACTCCTTGTCAGCATACTTGTCCCAGGTCACTGACACATAGTACTGAAGTCTGAAGGTCAGTATTGCAGCCTCTGTATGTCCTTACACAAGATTTCCTGTGAAAACCCTCTGCGGTCCCAATTTTATCCTGTATGCAGCAATTGCTCTGGACTTAATTGCATAAACATCCCTACCTGGGAATTTTACAGGCAAGTGTATGATTATTGTTTTTGGTAAAGCATCCCACAAAAGCACCTGACTTCTTGCTGACTCCGGGAGGACCAAGGTGTGTTTGCTGCAGATTTTGTCAGGAGGACCAGCACTACCCCCCTTTTAAAAAGATATGAGTACAGGACAAGAAGTGCACCCACAAGTGCAAATGACCCACAATTGCCTTCGGCTAAACTTTGCCTGTTCAAGACACAAACTAAATAGGTGACGCTGACCAACCGGAGGTGTGTCTTGGACTTTTATAGTGTTGCAGGTCTGATTTTGCTATTCCTGGCAGCCATGTGCTCACTTGGTTGTAAGTTCCATCTTTTACACTTTTTTTTCATCCTTGTTCCAATATTATTGGTTGTGAGAAGAGAGGAGAAATACACACCTTTCCCTGGTTTATTGACTGCACTATATAAATATTACACATTGGATCACCCACCTGAGATTACAAGTCATGATCGGATATACCAGAAAAAAGGTGAAATGGAAAATAAAAACAAAAATTGAAAATTACATATATGAATTTTTAACTGCTTTAAGAGGATGTGAAGAAAGTGCAGATGGCTGATAAACAGGTCTGCTGTAACTCTTGTCCTGGATAAAAAGTTTGTTTTCAGGGGGTGCACAGAGTCAATTCTAAACTCTGCTTTTGCGGAATCCGATGAGGTGAAGGGAGGCTCATTGTGCCAGGACAGGAATAATGCTCGAGGCCTCAGGACTCCAGCTTCCCCAGGAAGCGCAAATTCAGAATCTTGAGCTGGTCATCCAGGTCCATACGTACAATGCCATCATCATTGTCTATACTTAGAAGAATGCCCATTGCCTCTCGGTCCTCCCCTAAAATGACTTTCACCTGTAAGGAAGAAGGAGAGACACAGACTTCATAAGGCAGTTCTAATATCCAAGAGCAAAAACAATTAGACCGAATCTAAATCCCGATATGCAAGCATCCTTAAAGTAGAAGTATAGGCAAGACCTTGTGTTTTTTTTCCCCATTTTGGATAGAGCAAGGGAGGGCTACAACCCCTGTCAGGTTTTTTGCCATCTGTATCCCATTGAGATTTCCCTTCACTTTCTGTCTCAAAGCTAAACAGGAAGTGAGAGGAAATCCCTACAAATTAGGGGAACTCCTGGGGACCTCCAAGTCAACACTGGATGATGTCCCCTCTATTACTTCTCTGGGGACAACACTAAATTTGGGATTTTCTTTTACTTTCAACGATATTGGTAAACAGGACAAATAGAAAGCGTGAATCTCCTTAACGGGGGCACAGCCAGCAATAAAACTTGATAAGGGTTCTAATCCCTCTTCACTCTATCCAAAACATAAAAAAAAAAATGTATTCTGCACTCAGATTCTGCCCTGCCAGTTAGGGCTATTAAGTCTAACCAGCACCAAAAGCCAGGCTTACAACTCACAGGCCAATACGGTTATAGAGGGCAGATCCTTTATAAAAACCCTGTGAAAAGAAAATCCACTGCAAATATATTAAGAAAGGAAAGGCCATATGAGCAAGAATAAACTCCCTTATAATATGGTATCGTACCTATTCCTACATTATGAAGCAATGTTGAAAAATAAAATATAGTGTGCCGAGAAGCCACATAATAAAATATGTTATACGAAAGGCGACATCTCCCAGCATCCCTTTTAATGTGCAAGTTGCCACCTGCAAGGTATTTGTCAGCTAGGCAACACCTTGCACATCTGATGAGATTCCAGAGACACACTTAACCACTATAAAATGGAACATTTGAATTGAATTGGTCCCAGATTATGGCAGTACAGTTCTCAAAATACAGCAAAATAAGACCTACTTTAGAAAATGTATACTGTTTTCCAAAAGCATGCATTTTCAAAAGATATATTGTTTTAACTTCTAACACTGATTGTGTAGACCATGTGACTGTGTACCATAGGGGTACATGAGATTTTTCACTCTAAAGCAATTAGCCTTAACACGGCAAGGGTAAACGATGGTACAAGATGCTCTGATGTGGTGGAGACACTCAAACGTACCCGGCTGTTCTTAGTGGGCGTCACTGGCTCTAGGTGATCCCCAGAAATACTGATCACCTTCTCACTGTCTTGCAGCAGCACAGAACAGAGACCTCCCTGGAAACCAGAAGAAACATCAAATGACATTACACCACAGTCTCTTCACCCAAGACTTCACACCCTACCCCTGAACTGCTCACATACAATGCTGCGACATATGCAGTTTGCTATAAATTTGCTATGCATCTACGGAAACAGCTATTCAAGAATAACAAAAAGCTTCTGTATGACAGACTAAACAAGTACCAAGAGGGGGGCCCAAGTGAAAAACAAGTGCAGATGCATTTATTAAGTGCTGCAGCACATCATTTGTAACCGGAGGCCATAATTCCACATTAAGCCAGTATTCTTGTGCAATGGATAACTTACACTAACACTGCGAATGATCCCCATCTGTCCAACAACTTGGTTGTCCTGGAACGTTTCTCGTACTTTGACTTGAATGTCTGTGGTGACCCAGTCACTGGAGACCTGCTCTATAGAAGAGCCAGGTGTGTGGGGGTTGTACCCACCAGGAGAAGGTGCACCTGGGGTCATAGGGCTATAACCCATGGGACTAGGGCTAGGACTTGCCTAAAAGAAAAAGAAAGAAAAATACCCATACATGTCACCTATAAACCTCAACATAAATAAAAAAAGTATGATACATGGACAGCGTGCATTTCAAGATAGGTTTCCCTTTCAATATAAAGTATTTTAAGCATTCATCCAAATTTGAAATTACCTACACTCTGTTGATTAGAATTTGTTTTTATATAGTATTGCAGAACTTAGGCTAGGTTCACATCTGTGCAGCTTTGTGAGCCACAATTTGTGCAGGCACAGCAGCCCATTCTTTGGAATGGGTTGCCATGCCTCCTGAAAAGGTCACAGCAGCATTTTAGAAATCTCAGCCTACACAGGAATCACAAGTGCAGTGCGGTTCCCAGTGCGAAAGCGATTTCCAGAAATACTGCTACAGGGCGGCATGGGTGCACAAAATCGCATACGATTTTGCAGTTCAGGGAAGGGGCGCGCATGCACGCCCTACCTGTGCCGCCATTCGCCGGGTCCCGTATGGTGATTCCCACCGGCAATCTCCGAGGATTTCAGACGGGGGAGACCTGTACGTAAACAATACAGATCTCTCCCGTCAGCTCCTGCACACTGCTTTGCTAGGCAGAGCCATACAAAGCAGTGTGCTTACAATGTAAAGCACAGACACCCCACATAAAACAGCAAACAGTTAACCCTTTCATTGCCCCACATGTTAACCCCTTCCTACCCAGTGCCATTAGTACAGTGTCAGTGCTTTTTATTAGCATTGATCGCTGTATTGGGGTCACTGGGGACTGGGAATGTCAGTGACACCAAGTCAGTTCCCCCCAGTGTCATAATGCCCGGTGCAGTCCCGCTATAAGTCGCTGATCACTGCCATTACTAGTAAAAAAAAAAAATTCCAGTATCTATATTGTAAACACTATAACTTTCACTTAAACCAATAAATTTACACAGAGATTTTTTTTTTTTTTTTTTTAAGCAAAGACATGTAGCAGAACACATTTTGGTCTAAATTTATGACGAAATTTGATTTTTTAAATTTTTTTTTACTGGACATGTTTAATAGCAAAATGTAAAAAATATAGGGTTTTTTTTTTCAAAATTGTTGGCCTTTTTTGTTTATATAGCACAAAAAAAAAAAAAAATACCACCGAAAGAAAGCTCTATTTGTGGGGAAAAAAGGATGCAAATTTCATTTGGGTGCAGTGTTGCATGACCGCGCAATTGTCAGTTAAAGTAACGCAGCACCGTATTGCAAAAAATGGCCTGGTCAGGAAGGGGGGAGGGGGGGGGGGTAAATCTTCTGGAGGGCAAGTGGTTAATGGCACCTGCGAACCATTCCTGCGGTTTCCTTTGCGAGTGGGTGGGACTGTGGGAACAGGTATATACCAGAAGCAGTAATCGCGCACGCACACACAAGCACAGATCTGAACCTAGCCTTAATGTTAAAATATTGTTATGCACGGTTCAAAGCTTCTGTGAGCTGCAGTGTGCATGCATGTCAATGCCAGTCAGTTTAGGGGAATTTTAACAACCATCCTGTCTGTATAACCAGCAGAAAAAAAAAAAAAAAAGTGAGCAAGGACCGCAAGCACAGTGCAAAGTGAAGAACTGTTAAAAAAGAAAATGAAAGGTTAGGTGCAAGTAAAGTGTTCAAACTTACTTGGTAAGCCATGGGTGATGGTGTTGGGTGGTAGCTTGCTGGGGAGTGGGTATTTTGATAGCCCACAGGGCTTGGTGCCACTTGGTGGTAACTCTGTGGGCTAGGACTAGGCTGGTACGACCCTTGTGGTGAGGGAGCAGCATAGGGAGAGAACTGGTCTGTATTGTACCTGTTATGGAAGATAGGAGAGCAGTTTTTAGAAATAGGGGTGATGAGTAAACAACTACATGAAAAGGATAGCTGTCTTATAGTAACCATATTAAAATCCTTTATTATTGTTTCCCAGAACTGGTTTTAACTGTAATAAAAAGACATTGTGATAGGGTAGGTTCAATGCTATTTAACGATTATTCACAAATTTTAGAATGTGGACAACGGTAACTGTATAAACATATGTGTAAAGTTTACTTCAGAAAACCTTATCCCTCACTGGTCTGACATCACCAAACTGCTGAATGCAGACTGGTCCCTGGGATTATTGCAAACACTGATTCTGGTGCAAAGATCCCTAATTTAATGTTTGTTAGAGTTTGCCTGACACAAGACATTCCATGGTGAATGGATTAAGGTGACTGCATATAAATGCTGGGGTATGTTTCTATCACTCATTAGACCATGAAGAAGTGACTTAAAAAAACTTGAAAAAGTCTAACCATACAGGACATGTCCAGTTCAATGTGACCAATGACTATCCATTGGGAAAATACGAACCTTCAAAAGGCATCATGCCAGACTGATCTTAACTTACATGGCAGGAGTCCCCGGTGTCTGTGGGTGGTAGGGGGCATTGACCTGCGGAGAGGGCACATCTGGGTAACCAGGTGTCTGTGGGTTGGGGGTTCCTCCATAGGCTTGTGGAGACGGAGATGGTTCATCATCATACCTATAATCATATTCTTCCTCCGCCCTGTCAGTAGGAAACAAATTAACAGTTTTGTGTTAAATACTAGTGAGGATTGAGCAGCAGGGTTTGTCAACTCCGCTAAGGAGAACCATGGCAGAAAATGAAAATAAAGAAAAAAACTAGGGGTGCACTGAAATTTCAGTGGCCATAACATTTCAGCAGAAAACACCCCTATCGGCCGTTGGCTGATCTGAAAAAAAAAAAAAAAGCACCGATACAGGTGCCAGAAAAATCCCATTCCCCTCGCTGCTGCTCGGTAGTTCTCAGCCTTACCTAAGAAACCATCGAATTATCATAGCGCTGGGCATAGAGATTAGTGAAGGAAAGATGGCCTCCACTCATCTCTATGCCCTTGGAGGACCGGAGCGATGTCACTTTCGGTTCCGGACATTTTTTTTTTTTTTTTTTTAAAGCACTAGATCAATGCTTTTTCTGATGTAATGCTTTACATTGCAGAGGAGAGATGTGGGGTCTGGTTGACTCCACATCTCTCCATAAAGAGGACCTGTCACTAATTATTTCTATCACAAGGGATGCATGCATTCCTTGTGATAAGAATAAAAGTGATTAAACTATTTTTTAAAGGGACAGTGCAAAAAAAAAAAAAAAAAACAAACCAAAAAAAAAAACCCATTAAATTCTTTTTTAAAATGTCTAACATGCCCCTGTCCCCGCACGTAGTGGTGAACGTATACGTAGTCCACGCCCACATATGTAAACGGTGGTATTCAACCCACACACATGAGGTATCGCCACAGATGTTGGAGCAAGAGCAATAATTCTTGCACTAGACCTCCTCTGTAACATTACACTGCTAACCTGTAGACATTTTTAAAGCATCACCCGTGGAGATTTTTAAGTACCGCAGTTTGACGCCATTGCACGAGTGTCCACAGTTTTAAAGTGTGACATGTTTGGTATCTATTTACGCACCGTAACATCTTTCATATTTTACAAAAAAATTGGGATATATTGTGTTTTTTTAATCAAAGCGTATTTTTTAAATTTTTGAAAACTGCGCATTTCAGTTTTCGGCCAAATGCATTTTGAATTTTCGTTTTCGGCACCAGAATTTTCATTTCGGTGCACCACTAAAGAAAAAAAACAAAAAAACAAAAAAACAGTATGTCAGACCAACAGTGTCTGTTTTCTAATGTTAAACCTGATATAGGTGGTACTATAGTTGCAAGTGCCTGCCATACACCCATGAGCAAATGAAATGAAAGACAGCTGTTTTTGCCAATGAACAGTTCAGTGACTGAGGACAAGATAATACCAGAAGCAGAAATACCTTGAAGGGGTATTGGGGTTATTTGGGTCCCAGGCCCCACTCTGTGCAGGGGTTCGGCTGCCATCATGTAGAGGAGTTTGGGATCCATAGTAGGGTGTTCGACTTCCTGTACAAATGGCAATAAGTAGTATCACAAACAGAACACAAACATAAAGCAAGGACAGAGACAAAACTGGACTGAATTAACCTACCATCATGCACTGGAGTCTGTGAGCCATACATGGGTGTTCTGGAGCCCGTACCATACATGGGTGTTTGAGAACCGTAAATTGGAGTCCTGGCATGAGTAGAAGTCATTCCTCCTGCACGACGAGCGCCACTAAAAAAAAAAAAAAAAAAAGTGTGTAAAGTATGATATTTTGTACTTTACAAAACAGTCTTTGCAACAAGATACACCAATGACAGCACCGTAAAGGTAAAAACCAAGGCAACAAGCCTGTGTTCACTCCTAACAGCAAATCAAGTACACAAAAAAAGGAAAAACACACACACACACTCAAAATGGTCTTTCAAACACCTTATCCTGACCAGCAAAACACACGTACATTCTCACGCTGATGTTACCAAAAAATATCACAAAATATGTTACTTACACTGTTGTGAGACGCTGTCTGTCCACTGAGATGGTCTGACAGGTAGAATGCAGCTCGACTCGAGCAGTGGATTCTGTGGCATCCTTCACCACACCAATATAGCCTTGGAATAGAAAAAAAGTGAGGTCAGCCGTGCATAAGTTCACCTTTTGTAACATGTAACCCGTTTCTATGCAGCAGCCGACCCCTCAACCTGTTCTCCCTCCACCCCTTTCCTGTGACAGCAGGCAGGTGATCATCTTCTCACATACGCTGTCATAATTAAAATCAGGACAGCTCCACCCACAATGCCATATCCTTCATTTACAGGAATCTGAATGAACTACAAGTCCCATCTGCCACCATGACAGACAGCTTGTAGTTTTCAAAGAACTAATCAAAGCTCTTGTAGTTCACTAACTCTTCCTGCACCTATGGCGGTACGAGCAGACAGCTGTACAGAGAGTATGTAGGCCCATGACATTGCACCTGCTGCAGCATACAAAAAATAATAAATGCACATTTTTTACCTGCAAAATCCTGTGCATTTATTTTTTTTATGTGAACTTGGCCTTTAAACAGCAACAATAACTGTCTACATAGAGTATGTATGTTCTCACAATTTTTCCTTTGCCTTTCACCAAGTTTTCTGGTTTCTTCCCATAATAAAAAAAACATATTGGAAGGTGAACAGGCTTCTACTTTAAACTGGCAATGGAATGTGAGTACTTGTGTGACTGTGTAAAGTGATGTTACCTTGTACATTTCAGTTTATACAGACCTTTATAAGGACCTTGAGAAATTCTGACAGTCTGGCCAATCAAATCATTGTCCCTTCGGCCTCTTCCTCTGCCAGGACCTCCTGCTCCTGCTCCTGCTCCTGCCATACCACCTCTCTGTCCTGCGAAAGGTGATGGACAATGAATGAGTATGTATGCTAATATACAACAGAATCGATAGGCTTTTAAAGTGATACATACCACCTCCAGCAGGGTGAGCTGGGCTGCTAATTCTTGGGCTCATTGGAGCAAATCCAAAGGTGAGGTTTGTGACATCTCGAGGCTATGAAGTAAGAGAAGAATAAATATAAAGTAGAAACAAAAAAAACCCCTCACATCAGTCTCACTCTGTCAAGAGTTTTACCTTTGAGCCTCCAGCAAGGACTAGATAACGTGTTCTGCACACAAACATTCCTCCATTTTCTACCAGCTTCTTACAGTGAAGAAAAGCGTAATTCCGGAACAAGTGGCGAATTTCACCTTCACGGCCCTACAGCAATGAATGATTGATCAATGTACTGGTAAATCAAAGAGTGGATTTATTTAGCAAGTCAGATATTTACACTTTTGAAGAAGGGAGAATACAACTAAAGAGTTTCTCACCGAATGGGGACCATCGATGACCTTGACGATGTCCTTGACGTGAATATTGTTCTCTTCAGAGTCTAAAGCAACAGCAAAACGATTGTCTTTCTTCCGGGTGACTGCCTGATGCCTAACTGTGATTACTTTACCATGCATGTTAAGGACCTATATGTGATAAGCAGACAAGAAAAAAATGCAAAGCACATAAAATGTTGTAGGAAGTAAAACAAGGGAGCGAAGATGTGTAATGAAGTATGGGTCAGTTAGGATAGGACCAGAGCAGAATGGACAGCAGGAAATGCAGACAGTGAAAAACAACAGGGTGTAGGTATAGATACTGGAGAGTTACCTGTGTGCCCAGGAATTCAAATCTTATAGGGGAGATGAAAAATTGAAAAGTGAGCTGTGTGTGTTGAAATTCAGAACCCACAGGCTACACGTGTACTGGGGAGTGAGCTGCGCACACTAGGGGGGCAGATTCCACGGTAAAATAGGCAAACTGTGTTAGGCAAACTGTTCTAGGGACTGAGTACAAGGAAAGACTGACGAGTGTTCTTGGTGAGACCTTCCTGGTGGAGCACACCCTAAGCAGCACTATTCCCACCTGGTGCACAAATCCATCATTAGAACCAGAAGGAATGCGGCTTTATACAATACAGATAAGGGTTATGCTCTGAGATGATCTGTTACAAAAATTGTGCTTAGCACAACTAGCAGAAACAAATTTATAAAATAATGGAACAAGTCAAGAATAGTTTTAGTAGTAAATGTTGAATACATGGGATGGGAGAGCAAGAAACAAAATAACCAGTGGATTAGACATTTACCAAACACATGTTTTGTGGTGCAACTTTAAGAAAATTGCTCCTAAACATACAGCTCATATCACTTAGGAGCATATGCTCACTCTTTTTCTGCCATTCTAAGCCAGACTTGAAGAAAAGATGGTGAATTAGAGCTTTGAGAATATGGATCAGTTCCATCTAATATTGCATTTTCACTTTTTGTTACTCTGGTCTCTGAAGAACTTATTCTGCTGTGAACACTCACCTGAAAAGTCTCTCTTTCCAGGCGTACAATGACTCCCACTGTCTGAGGATCAAGTTGCACCAGCTCTCCCCATTCATGCTGTCCTCCAACATCCACACCAGAAGCTGTCTCCGAGCACAGCTGCAAATCTCGGGGGAGGACCTTCAGCTAAATGGAGGAGAGAAAGCAAATCACATTTACAGAGGACCGAAAATAAAACAATGCAAAGTACAGAACAGAAACTTGAACTGAATCCATCAACCTTTTTTCAACATATAGAATGAAGCATGGCCAAAACATTTTTGGCCTTGCTTCTCCTGTGGGCCACAGGAGTGTACTTTTATTCTCTTGTGACCCAGAGTCAGCTGGGAGTGAGCTATTGCCAGCATCCAGAAACTACAGGCATTTTCCAACGTGCTTCAAAAACATTCTGCACTTTTTTTCCCTTCCACGTGTCTACAAAGTCAAAATCACATGATCACCAAACTATTCCAAGGTCGGGGCAGAATGGCACACACATCACATAAAAAAGAGATATGTACTGCTAATACTGCACTCAAATATCTGGCATGCAATGTTTCCTCTTTGGACTAGATGCACTGTGACGGCACCTACTATAGTCATGAATTTCAATGCACAGTGAAGGTTGATGGATTTCACTGAGTTGCACTAGGTGATTACAGTGCCATGCAGTGAGGAGCAGAGGGTGAGCTACCCACTGAAAGCTTCTATCCTTGGATCAGCATTGCTGAAAGACTGTTGTATAGTGGAAACATGTGAAGGTAGAGTTTTAGGTGTGATAGACTATCTGACTTCATACACTGCTTTTCAGAAGGACGGCACTTTATCTTGGATAGAGAACAATTCATGGCAGGTTTATTTCAAACAGACACCACATGGAGGTAGATGATACCCAATATTATAGAACTGAAAAGCAATTGGACTATAGCCAACACAAAGCACACAGATAGTAAAACAACATTTATGTACAGAATGACATCAGAGTATAAGGCCTCCTGTATAAAGTATTGTCATAGACTGGCTGTACTGTGAATAACTCACCTCATGCATAGTGAGGTCAGAGAACAAGATGACAAAATTTTCTTCAACTCGCACAACAAGCCCAGTGTCCCCTTCATAGCGTCCAGCAATGACCTTGACATGGTCCCCCATGCGAAAATACTTTCTTAACTCATGAGCTGGGAATTCTAGCATGTCCTGTTATGGAGAAGAAGCAAAAAGGAATATGCATCCCACATAATGCTAAGTACATTTCAATGAGAAAAGATGGGGCCTTTTAAACAGCAACTAAAATAAAGGACTGTGTACTACAAAAACCACAGATTCAAATCTGTTCTGGAAACGAATACCTTAAAGAAGATATTTTAAGGTAACAGTTCAATAAAGGAAGTTTGGAAACTGGCTTGTTTTTGAAGGTGCAAATGAAAGGTTGTGACCCCCATCCTTTCCTCATTATTTAATGAATCTGTGACCTGGAACAGGTATACAAGTCAGGAATTCTGGCCATACTTTCAGGTCATGAATTCTTTAATTGCTATTAGCACCCTTACTGTTTCCTTTGGGTCTTCTTTCAGTTTTACAATTTACACTAACGCCTTAAACTATAAATTAGCCCATTACCGCCTCTCACAGACATGAATGACTGTGAGCTGCTATACTCAGGTATACTCCAGTGCCATCATAAACAAGGCTATAGCATACAGGTGTATGCAAAAAATAGAAAACTTTCTGCTTTTAGCATGAACCTGTATGCTATAATTGTGTTAGCATTCTCCATGTCACTCACTCACAAGAAAGGTGTCCTTTAAGTATCAATATAAAAAGCTGTGGCCAGAATCCCATCCATCCTGCTTAATAAACAGTTCACAGTATTCTCCAAGAAGGAAAGTTACATATCTCCTGAAAATAACTATTATGATAATTTGCTATTTTGTTCATCTATGTCCACCTATGCTGTATCTAAGAATCAGTGCTGTTATTGCTTCCATATATTTTTAATTAAAAAAAAAAAAAAAAAAAAAAAGGCAAAGTTACCTTAAGATCCTCATGCTTGGGCAAGATGGTGATCTTGTTTCCGTCCACGCTGAGAATTTTACCTTGTAGGTTGATCAACTCACCCTCACAGACCTCCACATTGTCGCCAGGCTGAAGGCTGTGCTCACGTTCCTTTCCTGCACATAACAAGCACTATAACTCAAGGGACATTAAAAACAAGGAACACTGCATTGACAAAAAAAAAAAATGCACACAGAGTTTTTCAAGCGTCTATAAATGGCCGCTGCCCATCTGTTGAATGTTTTAAGTTCCTGAGCAAGCCTTTGGATTATCTATGTTGCAGACTCACAATTCTCTTTAAATGGATTGTGCAGGTGATATGTGGTGAATTGATGGCTGAATTACAAGAAAGGAAAGAGGGAGAAAGAAGGATAATAATTCAAAACCAATGGAGAATTAGCAAAGAAACTGGAAACTAGAACAGAAGAACAATACTCCCTCTGTTATATGTGCACTTGTGACATAAAAGTAGAAAAAAAAGATTCTTATATCCTGAGCTGATTCAATGTCAAATAAAATTAAGGCATACCACCACCCTTATAGATGTGCATGTTCTCAGTCAGTCAATTGCAACTCAGCCTAGGGGGTATGCATGAATCAAGAATGATTTATATAATATAACTTTGCAGGCTACTTTTTAATGAAATAGTAGAAAATAAAAGAATGGCAGGATGACAAGTGCAGCTCTCAAAAGGAAAGCAGAGGGAAACAATTAATTGGCAATTATATAACCCTTTAGTACCTGTTGATTCTGTTACCACCTCCAGGTCAACCCCTTCTGGCTGATCTTCAAATTTCTCTAATTCAGAAAGAGTTGGTTTCACTCCATCTGTAATCTGTAGAGGCAAGAGAGTGTGCAATTAACTAATTTTGTACTCAACCCAAAAAGGTTTGTGTAAATGGACTTTGTTTTTGAAGGCTAAGGTTTCTGTTTAAACAACTTCATGTTTCATATGCCTCAACAGAATTCCTATTGAAGGTACCAGCTGATCTGCGACTGAGGATCTTTTGAAGTAGCATGAACAGATCTCATTAGGAGTAGCGGTCTTTGACCTGCTTTGCAAAGAATAAAAAAAGCAAAGTAGGTCAAATGCAGCCTTAGAAAGGTCATCCACACTATACAATTAACCACTGGCCCTCTGCCCTATAGCAGAAGTACAGCAGTACAGCTGCGCAAAATCAAGTATATATGCGTAATTTGCATTTCCGGACAGGGGGCGTGCGCCCCACCCTGCCTGCGCCACTGTTAGCTGCTGGGGATGTCAATCACCGGGGCCCGTCTGGGACTCAGTGATCGTCGGCAGGGCTGAGAGGGGAGAGATCTGCGTGTAAACAACACACATCTCTCTCCTGTCAGCATGCACAGCAGAGAGATACAGAGCAGCATGTCTCCGAAGTAAAACAGCACAAAATGTAAAAACACACAGCACACTATTAATCCTTGGATCGCCCCAGATGTTAACTCTTTCCTGCCCCGTGTCATTAGTACAGTGTCAGTGCTTTTTATTAGCACTGATCACTGTATTAGTGTCACTGGGGATGTCAGTGGCAGTCAGTTCCCACCCGGTGTCAGAATGCCAGCCGCAGTCCCACTATAAGTCGCTGATCGCCACCATTAGTAGTATAAAAAACCCCAAAAAATTCCAGTATATATACCACCATTTGTAGACGCTACAACTTTCACATAAACCAATTAATACACACTTATTCTGATTTTTTTTATGCATGATTTTTGTTTACATTACATGTAGCAGCATACATTTTGGTCTAAATTTATGAAGAAATTAGATTTTTTTTTACATTTTTGATTGGATATGCTTTATAGCAACAAGACAAAAATATTGTTATTTTTTCCAAAATTGTCGGTCTATTTTTGATTATAGTGCAAAAAATAAAAACCGCAGAGGTGATCAAATACCACCGAAAGAAAGCTCTATTTGTGGGGGAAAAAAAGAACTTAAATTTAATTTGGGTGCAGCGTTGCATGACCGTGCAATTGTCAGTTAAAGTAATGCAGTGCCGTATCGCAAAAAATGGCCTGGTCAGGAACGGGGGTAAATCATTTGAAGGGCAAATGGTGAAAGTAAATTGAAACCTGCAGACTAGCTGTTAAAAAGTATGCTGCAAATGCAATTCAGGATGCAGAAAAACAAATCCCATCTATAGGAGCTCTTAAAATAGTAGCAAGATGTGGTTCAGTGATGTGGACGATGTAAATACACCAGAACACTGAGAATATTATTCAGTGTGAGGCGACTGGAATCAGGCGGTGATTTCTATACATACTGCACTTATCTTTTTAGCCAAAAAGTTTAATCTCTATGCGGGTGGGAGATGTAAGTCAACAGCACATCATCCTTTTGTAGCATATAAAGATAAATGGAATAACAGGAGTGGGAGTTTTTAAATGCATATTATTGTATGCAACACCGAACATTTGTTAAAATATTAAAATTTATTTTGAACAATGCATAAAAGGATTCTAATAAAAAGTAACCGGTACAGTTCCTTAAATATATATCCAATATATGCCGTCTGGTGAAATTAGATGAGATCCTCATACACAGGTTCTTCTACATGTTTTGCCAACTTGGCTTCTTTAGGAAGTGATTATGTGCATAGGATACTGGTATTTGCATTTTTTTGTATCCTTACCAGTATCTTATGCACATAATCGCTTCCTGAAGAAGCCAAGTTGGAGAAACATGTAGAAGAAATGGTGTATGAGGATCTAGTCTAAGATCAACAAACGGCATATACTGGATATATATTATGGAACTGTACCAGTTACATTTCATTAGAATCTTTTAATGCATTGTTCAAAATAAATTGTCATATTTTAACTGATGTTCAGTGCTGGCGTATAATATATGCACCTAAAAAATCCCACTCCTATTATTCCAGTTAGTTTTATCTGTTTAGCCCTTGTTTAAAAGATAAGGTCATCTTAAAAAAATATATATATCTAAATGCATCTATTTGCAGTTCAAAAAATGTGCATTTATTATTTTTTTAATTGGGTGCCTGTAAAGCATTGCACCTGCGATCAGCAGATCGCGTGTGCATTGCAGGGTTCTTGCAGACAGTCAATATAACCTGACAGGAGGCACCAATTAACTACTTATAGTGCTCAACAGTGCCATGGTGGTTAAGTGAGAACTACAAGCCACCAACCACAAAGGCTGTTGCGGTACTTGTAGTTCTCCCATTCAAAGAACTCTGAATGATGAAGCTGAATGGGAGGGGCCCCACACATCTGCGTCTATTTAAAATTGTGACATAAGGCACGGGGAGAAGATCTCCAGCCTGATGTCACCTGAATATGGGTTTAACATGTAACATGCTATAAAAGGGAACTTATCCTTTTAATTTACATAGGCATTCTTACAATAGTTGAATGTTATCTGCTGTACGCAGTACACAAGATGTTCTTCGTTTCTCAGGTGAAAAATTAAGGACATACTGTGAGCGCAGGGTGCCACCATGGTGTCAGAGGGCAGTGTACTGAAACAGAGATCTCATCATCATTAAGAACTCAGCACAGAAAAGAGCCAAAGAGGAAGCGGACCCTCTTATCAAAGTATTTTGCTGTGTGTCAAAATTGGAATGGCTAGTCTCCAGTAATGAAAATCCAACAATGCCTACCATTGGGCAGCAATTTTTGTAATCTGACAGACCGGGTAATAAATAACCTACCACAGCAGACATTGCGAAGCTCTTGAAGAGAAAACCTTTACGACTGTAACGATTTCCCTCAAAAATAAGGAAATCTCCATCTGAAGAAACATCTCCTCCTAGTGATCTGCCGAACAAGCAATTACGTATTAATGCTATTATACATTACCAGTGCATAATCTTCCATTAGAAGGTAAGAGTCTCACCTGATTTTCTCTGGATCGAACAGTCTCTGCGGAGGCCTTCGAAACCTTCTCTTCTTAGCAAACCAATCTTTCTGTAAAGCAGGATGAAAAAGTGACGAAGTGCTACTCACTTTATGCAAGTGACAGAAAGGCTAGAATGTCAATTAACCTTTCATTGCTGCCTGTGTCCCCACAGAAATACTTCCTTCTACAGCAACAATGTTGTCACCAAGACACGAGGTGGAGAAAGAGACAAAACCCCAACAAGGATTCAAACTGTTCCAATAATGTAAAAAATGGGAGAAAAACTAAAAGTGCTATCGTGTGCTAAATAATTTTCTCCATGCTATCTAGAAGGATGAATATAAGCAATAAATGCTAATGTCCCACAAAAGTCCACCCAACACTAAGTTTTAGTCATAGGTGAACATTTGTGGGTTTTATATCCTGCTATTTTCTTAGATCAGAAGTCTCAATGCTTTATCAGCTTTCTCCATGGTGCAAAAGGAGTCCATGACACCTGCTTGTACGAACTGCAGTAGAAAAGTAGAAAACTGATGCAGAGATTTCACTGCTAAACTAGATGAAATAAAAGTTACACTTTTGGGCAGGCCAAATACAAATAGTTTAAATGTACATATTTGTATTAATTCACAATACTGTAAACAAGCACACCCTACTCTCTCAGAATAGGAATTGTATTCCAAAGGACTATCTTTTAAGACATTATCAGTTAACAATAAATCTTGACACAGCTATGCCAAACACTGGAAACAAATATTTCAAAATAAAATACCTATTAGAGAGCAAGGAAAACAAACGTTCTTGAAAAGTTTGTCATATTATGCTCACTGTTCTGTAAAGTAACAATTAACATGAAACATATCTTACCAGACTCATGCGTGCTTTAATGCGGTCATAGTCAATCCGAGGAATCATTTTCAGAGAAATCGTATTCTGGCTGGGCTCTACATAATCAACCTGTAAAAAAAGACACAAAGTCCAATCTTTTAAGGTCGTGTCAACTGGGCTATCCTGCGGGTGACAGTACATGGCCAGTAGGTCAGTTACCAAAGTGGGGTTTGAACTTCATGTAATGGATTTGCTCCCTTACCTGCCAAATCTGATTCACAAGTGAGGGAGCGGCAAGACAGTAACATCTTACTAGTCCGACTACTGTGGAAGCAACTCAGTAGCAAAAGGTAAGTGGTAAGTTAAGCAATGCTGTGACTAGTGAGTCTTCATCAGGACAGGATCGCTTATGTGACAAGGGCTTAAAAAGGTGTAAAAAAAGCAGGCAATGTTTAGGCATGAGGATCAAAAACGGTATGTAACTCTTGAGGACTTGATAAGGACGGGGGGGGAAGGAGTCAGCCTAATGAAGTTCCACCCACAAGAGAATGCAATATTTTGCAGTACTGACAGATTATGAAGTTCCAGAACTATACATTCACTGAAAAAGTCCTTAGGAGGACACAGTTTCATAATCACCTGGGCAATGTCATCCTTGTAGATGCCTCTTTTAAGCCGGACCCAAGACTTAGGCTTAAGATTTGTAACCTCTTTCACCACCTTCAAGACATCGGTCATTTCCTTGATGGGCACCATCTGCTGATTCCAGAAGCCCATGCGCAGGTTACCAATTCCTTCAATGGCTTGCTTGACATGAGTTTGCTTGTAGGCCTCAATGTAGATGTAACCTTTGACGTGCTCTGGGGCAACTACAGATTTTATCTGAAGAGGCTATTAAACAGAAGACAGCAAAGGTGGAATGAAAACAGAAGATGTGTATTAAGCAGGGATAGATGAACTTATAGTTTAATTCAATAGTACTGAACACATTTGGAAAAATACAAGACTGATACTTGAGCAGTTTTTCATTCTAGAACTTTCTCCATTTTGATAAAAGTGGTTGTCTTAAATTTATTTTTAATAAACCCGCAGTAAAAAAAAAAAAAAAAGTGCATGTAGAAATGTATCCTTTGCATTATTCTTTGTTTACCCTGATGTGGGAGAGACTCCTGTCTTGGCTTAGTGCATATGTGGTTTAAAAGACTTCCTCAGATATTCAAGAATTTTAAAGGGGGTCTAGTCTTTGTTTGGAACTACACATTATGTTTGTATATTTCAACTGTCACTTTTGACAGTTCCTTAAAATCCTAGTAACTGGACTCTCTTGCTGCAAGACTTGGAGTAATTCACCCACCACAAGCATAAAAGGATTTCTGACTTTTCTCCAATTTCCTGATCTGTATCATTTGGTTAGCGGCTAGTGAAAATATTGAAAACAATTTTTGATCAAACAGCCAAGCAAATAACAGAGAGACATCAACAATGACAACCCCTGTATTACTCTTATCATGGTTTTCCTGGAAAGTGAGTCATTTAGCAAAACCATTTAATTTTGGAGATGCTTAGCCAGAATACAATACAAATATATGTGCAAAGCAGGTTATTTTGATTTTACTGCAGGAGCCTTTGTGCATGCACACTGCATGGGTGGATAACATGACTAGCAGTTTGCACAAAAAATATGATGGGACAAGTATGTGAAGTGCAAATCAAAAATGACTTTTACATACATTTTATTATGATAAAGTGCTGAAAACAGTCATCTGACATCAAACAAAACTAACAGTTTGCCTAATGTCCAGAGAAACAGAGTAAAGAGTGGATCTGTAGGTGGATAGACAGATGGACAGAGAATACTGTGATAATTGGAGGTGGGATGTGAATATCTGGAAGGTGGTAAGAAAAATACCAAAATAAAAAGTAGTTGGGATATAGAAAGCTGGAGAAATTATACAGAAATGCATTGAAAAAGTGCTTACTGCATCTGTGAACTGGTATGCAATGAACTTCCTCATCAGGGCAATTGCTGTGGCACGCTCTTCTCCAATCTATAGTGAAAAAAATAAATGCTAATGAATAAAAGAACATGGTCACTTCTGCTCTTTTCTCTCTGAACAATGTGACAATGACACTGACCTTACATTTCACTGTCCACAGATTTGGATCTCTACAAAAATTAAAAAAAAGTGTAAGACGGTGAGAATATGCTTGGCTATGGGTAAAAGATTACTGAATTTTTTAATGGCAGACATAAAAAAAAAGGGACCTGGGGCAGAACTGGTGTCAATCTTCTACAAATCTGAGTTTTTTTACATATGGATTGGCATTTTTGATTTTATTTTTTCACTTGTGTGTTGCTGTGGATTGGGGTAATGTGTGCTAAAACATGTAAGTTACCACAAAACGTGAAGCCAGCCTAAGACTCAAGTGGGTAAACTGAAAAGCAAAGGCTTGTGTCCTTACTTGACTCCAGGAAGCAGTTGTTGCTGAGTGATGTCATCTGACAGCTCATCAGACCCTCCGTATATACTAAGAAAACAGAGAACATGTTAGCAGTTCCGCATAGGCAGGGACAGAACACTAACATGGCCAATAAAAAACAAAGGAATGTACTTACTGCTCGCCGACAGATGACTTGGCGTATTTCTTCATGTAATATTCCCCCAGCTCCTCCTCTCTCTGGTCTCTGTAAAAAGATAAAAGCTATGTCTGATCTGCAGCAGACAGACAGGGTGAGGGACACCATCATTCAGCTCTAAACCTTTAGGCTTACATCACAACACTCTTACCGCCACAAATTCTGCAGACGCCTGGCCCCCGAGCGATCCTCATCGAGTACAACATTGTCGATATTTGATGCTATGGAAAAAACATTATGTCACATAAACCCTACAGAAAGTGATCTATTTTTTTGTTTCCACACATGCATCTAGCAAGCTGATGGGAAGGGGTCAGACAGGCCTAGCTTACATTAATAAACCTTTTATATTAAACATAAACAATGTTAAGGTTTTTTAAAAGGACATCTAAACTCAAAAACGGATTATAGTTGTTGGTGGAGTATGGCATGGTCCGATGTGCCACTGGTCTTTAGAAGTCTTCAAAATGTCTGCTCAGTTTTACCTTGGCCACTGTGGTGAGCTCACTATTGGAATCTGAATAGACACTCGAAGCTGCGGGTGTCCCCATAGCGAGCTGCTTGCTGTGGGGGCACTCGACAGAAAGGAGGAGCCGGGAGAGCCTGCGAAGGACCTGAGAAAAGGAGGATCCAAGCTGCTCTGTGCAAAACCACGGCACACAGCAGGCAAGTATAGACATGTTTGTTATTTTACAAAAAAAAAGAACCTTTAGTATCGCTTTAATGGATTGTTAGGAATGTTCAATGTCCATAGTCTGGGCACAGGTGCATTTTAACTACATAATGCAACAAGCATAAATAAATGTTTGAGTTCCCCCCTTTCTCAAAACTTGTATTTCTCCAGCACAATTTTGGGCAATTAGGCACCTCATGAAGCAGGCAATTACATATAATGCAGTGCTCCATACCCTTAGGAGCTATTCTTTTACATCTTTTCTTCTTTAAGAAACCAGCCAGTTGCCAAATAGGGCGACTGTTCCTCTAACAACGTTTTTAAACAGAATTGGCAAAATGATCATGGTGTTGTTTAGAATGTATTAAAAAAAAGGTTAACAATGCATCCTCCGAGTCCTCAGATTAAAAAACGGATTACTGCTTGGTGAATTCATATTAGAGCTGGACACTCTACAACTTACTGGCTGTCCAAGTTCTCATCAAGAAAACCAACATATGCTGACCTGGGGTGGGCAGCTCATTTATGGCAGATGGCACAAAATCCAGAGATTAAAAGGAATGAGCAACCATCTATACCACCTATATTAATAGTCTATTGGTAAAAAAAAGATAACTTCTTGAACCTAACAAACACATTTGACCTAAGACAGGTTGGTGTACATAGCATGATAACTTACCTTCTATCTCTTCTGTGTGTGCGATGATGAAGCCAAGACACAATGGTGCAAAACATAGCAGCAAAAATCAACCACGAGGCGTAGATGAGGGACCGGAAATGGGGAAAGGGAGAAATTATAATATATGGCACAAAAAGCAGCATGAATCAAGGAGGCAGGTAGACTGCAGAGGGTGGATAAAATGGAACAAGTGGGTAAACAATAAAGAAGCAGTGCTGGGGGTGTATGGGGGAATAAGAACAACTAAGGGCTCACACTGATCTCTATGATATGAAAGACAAGGGTATTGATAATATAAGGGAGACAGCCGATAGGGTTGTTTTGACATAAAGGTCCACTTATAATTTTTAAAGACTGTACTGAGGCAAGTAGACAAACAGTCCACCCACTCCCCATCCCATATGCCCTAGTAGGGGTTGTAAGGAGGATATCCATTTGCTGAAGATGGTCTGGATGTTTCTACAAACTAGCTGTGACTGCCCTCCCAGATGACACCAAACGGCAAGATAACTGTATATGCCCCTTCTTTCAGATGGTTGATAAGCAATGTAACCCCCCCTCTGGTCATGAAGCACACCAGAAAGCATACTACAAGTAAACCAGAGTGCATAAAAAGTTAGTAGTACTAATTTGGGAAGAAGGAGGGACTGTATCTAAACATTGTCCCTACCTCATTGCAACGGTTAAAAACTATAAAGGGGAAAAAAATCTTTAAAAGTGGATTTCCAGTTTAATTTGGGACTGCACTGTGCAGTAGAAAAAGACAGGCCCCCAATTTTTTACCCCAGTTTTTATATACCATTATATCTGGTATTGTAATGCATCCATAAAATACTATGGCAGAGCTTTGTGAGATTCGGTTACTGAATTTCAACTTGTAGAGAACTATAAACAGTAGAAAAAGTATCTACTACATAGAGGTGTCCCAAAAAAAGACAGTAATTATATCTAAACTGGAAATCCTGTTTCAAGTGGACTTATCTTAAAGCAACATCCACCAACTCTGACAATCCTACTGTATTTAAGTCACTAATGGAAGGAATTTGTGAAACAATTGCATTTCCTGAAGAAATCAGTGTTCCGAGATCCTCTAGCAGTCAGTCATGTGAACAATGTCGTGTGGTCTACTGAAGAGAAGGATCAATGCTGATTCACAGCCAATGACTGGCTAGCTCTGCCTGAATCTCAGTCACCCAAAGCAACTTGGCAGACCATGTGACTAATTCAGCAAACGATGATGTGACCAGCCACTTGAGGGACTCTGCAACCCCAGTTCCTGCAGGAAGGTTTAGCACTGCACAACAGTTTTTAACCATTTACATATCAGTGGTACTCCAATTTGGTAATTTTTTATTTTCAATTTTGCAGCGTGGTGAAGGATTAAAACATCAAATTTTTATTGCTTTCTGTTCCCAATTTGGATATTCCCCCTATAGTCTGTCTTGGTAACAGCATTTAGTAGGAATTAGTGAGAAACTCTGTCGACAATTTCCAGCAGAACAGATGGAAAGACTAAATCTCCCCATGGAGTCCACTTGTCCTGCCGGCAAATGTCAAAAGTGTGACATTTTATCTGACTTCACCAAAGTTCATTGAAGTGGGAACACGAACAAGAAAAACCCGACAGAGGCTTGAATCCCTTCCCTACTTTAGCAAACAAAAAGTTGTGACTGGAGTAAGATTGTCAGGTCAGTAAGTGGGGACTGCAATTCGAAGACAGGTAAGTTATAAGGGGTTTGATGCTTAGCATCTTACAATGCCTGCAGATACAGAGAACACACAAGATCATTGTAGGACACAGACCTATTTACTGCAGTTCACATGCATGTCAGAGCTCTCTTTTTTTAACCATTATAAACATCCAAAATTAACTTGTCACAGGAGCAAAAATAAGAAAATAAATTACTTATACATGTACATGTTTCTCAAACACTGGTCAGTTGTGTATTGCAGGCGTCACTTAATTGTTCACCTGAGCCATTATCTTACACTGTGTCCCACCATTCCACATTGCTACAGCACTGCTCTACACACTGTGTAATCATGCTTAGTCTAGACAAAAACCTTGCTTTAAAAAAAGCATGTACCTTCCTGAATACTAACGTTTCCTCATCTTTTCTGCATTTCCAATCCAAAACTGCCCTAAAAGAGAGCCACTAACCAATAAGCACAGTGTCCCTTCCAAATGGCCTAAAAAAAGCTAAAGAAGAGAACCAACTCATTGTCTCCTACTCACTCTTTTCCAAACTTACACAAAAAAAAAAAAAATTGGAAGGAACTGATCTCCACATATGGGTTTTCTATCTCCTACCTGTGGCAAATGATAGACTATGCATATGCTCTCATTAGGCCTCACTGTGCAGAACTCCTAATCCCTGGTGTGTACAATGCTGCTGAGCCAGTGGTACACGATACACAGGTAGACATAAAAAAATCAATCATACTGCATTTAGCATAACTTTAAATTAAAAGCAAAAAAAAATAATCTCATGACAGACTTCTAGCACTGTGATAGATGGAAGGCTGTGGTAGCATTGTGAAAGGGAAAGACCTGGGGACATGAAAAGGAACCTATTCAAGAATGACCACCCAGACCCTCACATTTTCCACCTGGAGCTACACTATATCTCTGCACAAGCAAGACACATTCAGTATATGGTAGAGAGCTACGAACTATCACGTGAGGCAATAAATGTATGTACCATGAAAATACAACAGACTGAGGTTGATTTGCTAAAACTGGAGAATGCTAAATCTGGTGCAGCTCTGCATAGAAACCAATCAGCTTCCCGATTTTTTTTTTGCCAAAGCTTACCTGAACAAGCTGACGTTAGAAGCTGATTGTCTACCATGCAGAACTGCACCAGATTTTGCACTCTCCAGTTTTAGTAAATCAACCCTTGTGTGTCCTATGTATGGGCTGCATCAGGTTTAAAAAGAGAATTCTTACTTGCAAACGATAGTTATGAACTAAATAAACAGGATATGTAAAACACATACAACAACTAAAGCATCACACACAAGAAGAAGGATTCATTACCAGAGACTAAAAGGAAAGCATGCAGTAGATTGAAAAGATAAACCAAGTCAATGTCTAACATAACTGGTATTGAAAAACCTAAATATTGCAATCCCTGAGCCCCATAAGCAAACTACAAAAGTGTTGTGTGCAGATAAGATGTACCTAACGTGTAGGCTCAAATATATACATACAATATACAAGTACAAAAAGGCATCAGTAGCATCCAGTCCTAATAAGACAAGGACATGTCATCTAAACATCACAATTAGGATGATTGCAAGGATGGATAAACAAGACAAAATAGAATTCAGGAGGCCATCAAAACTGATTTTTTTCTGATTTTGCCAATAAGCACGCTTGCTGCTTCTAGTATAACCCTGGTGGCCCTTACGATTTTAAAGCTTGGAGCCTGGATTCTAAATTGGCTTGTCCACCTCTGCCTAGGACAAGGTAGTGAACAAAGCAACAAAGGTAAGAACCAGAGGACCAAAGGCCTGTCACCAGATAAGACAACACATCATTTAATGCCAAAAGCTAGACATGGCGACACACAATAAGTGGATTATGAAACAATATATAAAGTCTATGAAAGCACAAAAGGTGCACAAATTCCAGGGTCTGTAGTAATTGAAGAGCATCCAATTTTTAAGACTAGACTGGACACAGTGTGAGATTCTAAAAACCACATATTGAACATAACATGTGAGAGCAGCACACAGGCTTGTAGACAGACAATATCCCCCCAACACATACTAGACATAAGGTACCCAGAGTCTAAATAAAACAAAAACAAACCCCACAAGATCTGACTCAGACGTAAATTCCATCTATTATATCAATAGTTTCTTGATGTGCTCGTGTCAAGTGTAGAAAACTATTTGAGTCTAAGGATACTTTGCAAACCAAAGAAAGCATGCAAGCCAGAACTCATGCTAAAGGACCCAGATCAAACCAAAACACTACCTTTCTCCAGAATGTCTTCTGCTCCATCCTCCCACTGATCTTCATCTTCATACTCATCGTCCACATCTGTGGGGAAACAAGTTTACCGCTTGTGAGAATCAAAAATTCCAGCAGACCACCAAGAGGCAGAATGCCATTTAACTTAAACTAAAGAAAGAAAAAAAATAATCAGTGTTTACAGTCTGCTGATCTTACCGGCTTCATCTAAAATAAATCCTCCATGTCTGGGTTTTTTCCTAGGACGGTCATCGTCATCCTCCTCTTCTTCTTCATCATATTCCTCCTCATCTTCCTCTTCCACCTCTTCATCCTCAGCCTTCTCGCTGCCAGCAGCACTGACCCTTTCCTCCGTTTCCTGTGATCCAACACAAATACTATATATACACACTGTACACTGACTGCAGATTAAAGCAAAACAGTCACACATGGGGAAATCATTGCACAGTTCAACTGCATTTCTGCTGCAACACAGGTTGAGACTGGTGGTTCTGCCACTTGCTGCCAGACTTGGAAGGTGAAAGGGTATATAAGATAGGCAGCTTACATCTTTTCACATTTTAAAGTGGTAGTTATCTGCAAATATATATATATATATAAAAAAAAAATATTCTTCTGTAAGTTAAAGTTCACCCTTTGGACAAAAATAATAAATGCACATTTTTTTTGCAGCTAAGAAAATGTGCATTTATTATTTTTGTCCAAAAGAGCCTGTAAAGCACTGCACCAGCGACCAGTAGATTGCTGATGTCATGCAGGTCTCCTGCAGATGTGTCAGAATATCTGCTTGCCATACGTGATGTACGGTCAAGAATATATTCTGACAGGAAACTTGAATTAACTATTACGGTGCTCCACAGCACTGTGGTAGTTCATTGAAAACTACAAGCCAACAGCTGCTAAGACTGCCAGGACTTGTAAGCACTCATTCTCAGAACTCTATGAATGAATGACGTGACCGTGTGGACGGAGCCCCGCACGGCCGTGCTGTTTTCAAATTTGAGAGATAGTACGAGGAAAAGTCTCCCTGTACTATCTGTCGGGGGGGGGGGGGGGGTATTGCTGCTGCGGCTATGGGAACATGTTACATGTTCCACCCTAAAAACTGGTGGAACATGTAACATGAGCCAAAGGTGAACTTATCCTTTAAGAGCATAATGTGCTTGTATGCATCACATACTAGCACATTGTGAAACTTGCCTTAAAACTAATCCCTCCAGCGACGCACTGTTACCAATGCCAGGGATTCCATTTTCACCCACTCTGCCTTCCAGGTTTGAATGGCTGGGCCACGATGACGTCACTCCTGCGCTTGCGCTGGTGACATCAGCGGCTGCTACTAAAGTAAATATCTTCTAAATAGTTCATGTTTAGGAGATATTTATTGTACCTACAGGCAGGTAAGCTTTATCATATGCTTACCTGTAGGTATAAATCAATAAAATTACTTTCCTACTGCTTTAGTTTGCAGTAATTTAAAAAAAAGGCTCAAAACGTGCAAAGACAACTTGTTAGGCTACATTCACACTGTAGCGGGTGGTGGGGCTCGTCTGAGCGACCACAGCAGGCCATTCAGTTGAATAGGCAGCTGTACCTGCATTTCCTACTGGGAAAAAGTCCCTGACCCTTTTTGGTAAAACACAGCCGCATGGAACCGCATGGTGCTTTGGCACCACCCCCACTGCGTTTTCCAAAGCGTGGGAGGGTGCCATTAAGAAGTTTTGGCACCCCCACACGTCTGCTAAGCAGCAATGTGTTTTGGCTACAGATGCGGGAACACGTATGATTTACGGGCACTCCTGCCCCTGTAATAGTGTGAACTAGTCGAAGTCATCAGCTGCACAGAACTTGGTCAGTCAGCAGCAGGAAGGTTATTGGACATAAGAGTTTGTAACCAGGAAAATTTTCTTTACTACTAAGCAATAGAAGCAGTATCCTGGTTGAGAAGAATGAAAACATAGCTGCAAATAGCTAAACTAATTGCACAATGCTACATGAAAAGTTGTGTTAATTTATACCAACACAAATCAGGGTAAACCAGGAATAAAAAATAAAAAAAAAAAAACACCACACAGCAAAACACTTTTGTAGGCATAATATGCATCAAGGCTACTTTCAAACTGATCCATAGCAAAAACGTGTTTTTGCTGTGTTTTTACAGGGTTTGCGGTGCATTTTTTACAGGACATGTGACTCAAAAACCTCATCAAAAACGCAACGTGGGTGCATCTTTGTCCCTTTTTCTGGATTGATTTAAATGGGGAGGTGCGTTTTTTTTTTACCAAACCAAACCAGGAACAAAAATGCAGCAAGCAGGAATTTAAAAAACCACACCTGACCTGCAACAGATCAGTGTGAAGAGTTCCATAAGAGTATATGGTAACACGTTTTTCTTCGTGTTTTTTTTTTTTTTAACGCAAAAGCAGAAGAAAAACAGATCAGTGTGAAAGCAGCCTTAAAGACAACCACTCACCTCATTATCCTCTGCTTCTTCAGCATCACTACTCCTCTCACTCTCCTCCTCAGAGAAGTTACTGTCCTCACTGTCTGACATTTTCTTCCACTAAATACTGAAACATGAACAAAACAACAGCTTGAATATTATGAATTCAGGTTAACCTGCACTGAGTTTTTTTCTGTTCACATGTAAAGTTGGGTTTTGAGCAGAAGAAAAAAAGAAAAATACTGTAAAGCACATCTGTTAAACACAAGGCCTGCCAGGCAATTTCATGTGGCCATCGCACCCAGGGTTTTTTTTTTTTTCTAGCCGGAACATGGTAGAACGGCACTTCCCCTCCACTCCCCGCTCACCACTGTCATTTGTAAACACAGAGACCTTTTGGGTTTACAAGGACAGTTTTCCACTTGGAAGCTCACACAGATCCCTGCCTGCCCTGCACTCACGGTGGGGACAAGGGAGATGCAGGTGCGGTTTAGTCAAAGATAGGATGGGGAATCACAGGGTGGGCTGCACAGTGGTCCCCATCTGTGCCCTGATGCCTACCAATAATCTCTCAAGTGAGAGAGCGAGGTGAAGCTGCCTACACTCCGGGGATGTGTATTTTTTGCAAAGATGACATGCAAGGAAGCTTTTGGGAGGAGGGGGCTTAGTAGGAAGATATGTGCAGAGGTGGGAGGATATGAGAGAGTAATGCAGAGGTCAGAGCTGAGGAGGAGTGAAAAAGCCGGTGAAATAGAGCTGAACCCTGCAAACTATGCATAGAACATCCCTAAACCCAGCTCTCTGTACATCGTGCACTCCTGAACCCTGCACTCTGTATGCAGCACACCCCTGAACTCTGCACTCTGTGCATAGGGCACCCCTGATATTTATTTCCCCTTTAAGATCCACCCACTGTGCAATTTGGCCCCACCCACCATCTATTCTCTGAGGAAAAAAAAGGCCCCGGATACATTTATATAGTCTTACAGATTCAACTGGCCCTTTGAGGGCAATCATAATAATGACCCCAGACATACAGCCAAAGTCATAAAACTATCTACGTTGGAATGAAGAGCAAGAGGTCCTGGAAGACATCAATAAGTCGGTCAGGGATTACAAAAAAAAAAAAAAAAAAAAAAATGAAAAAGCAACTGAGACAGCCTAAGTCCACAGAATTGTTTCAGATGTATAGAACAGTATCATGTAGCATTTACTTCCTGGAATTCATTTGCCTTAGCTCAAGCATGCAGACAGGAGGAAGTGTTTAGCTGAGAAAGCCCCTCTCCCCCTTCTCCTAGGATGTATTACATCATTTACCTAGGCAAGAAACCAGGAAGTAACTGAATGTAAAAAAAAAAAAGGCAGCATTGCTAGAGTAGATAGCCGATACTGTAAATGATGCATGTTTCCATTAAAACACATGGTAGTAGCTATTGTTTTTGTGTAAGGGGTCAAAGTTTAACTAAACGCAAATCTTTTTCTTAGTTTTGGACAGAGTGCAGAAGGATGAGACAGCCCCCCCGTCAGTTTTATTGCTGCCTGTGCCCATCTCTATTTGTCCCATTTACCATAATCATTGAAAGCAAAAGAAAATCCCACATTTTGGGTTGTCCCCAGAAAAGTAAAAGGGGAGAAATCTGCCACTGGGGATACTAGTTCTGATGACCTGGGGGTCTCCAAGGAATTCCCTTAATTTGCAGTGATTTCCTCTCACTTCCGGTTTGGTTATGGGACAGGAAATGAAGGGAAATCTCCACAATGGGACTCAGATGGCGAAAAAAAAAAAGTGACAGGGGTTATGACCCTCCCTTACTCTATCAAAAATGAAAAAAAAGTTTTTCTCATAGTTCTACTTTACATATGGCCTTCCTTCAGGTAGCCAGTAAGGATAGGGAAACTATGTTCAGACCAAAACAAGTGGTACGAATGGATTCTCCCTCCAATTGTTCTTTTTGTACCACTTATTCTACTCAACATTATGCTGTTAAAAGAATTGTTCATAGACATTGGAATGTCTTGAAAAATGATAAGGTTTTGGGCTCTTTGCTTCCTGAGGTTCCATTGGTCACCTTTAGGGGAGCTCCTCCTTTGAGGCTGAGTGTAGCCCTGAATCTTGTGGAGCCCCCTGTGAGGCTGACGTTCTTTCAGGGGATAAATGGCTATTATCCTTGTAGAAAGTGTAAAGCTTGTGGCATTAATTCTCAAGGGTGTAGGATTAATTATTTTCAATCAAGTTGCACTCTAAAAGACTTATATTAGAAAGTGTATTACATGTTCCACAAAGAACGTGGTCTATTTGATTCAGTGCCCATGTGGCCTACAGTATGTGGGTTCACTACACGCATGCTACGCTTTAAATTTAATGAGCATATCAAGAACATACTAAGGGGTTTCCTGATCATAGTGTGTCTAAACACTATGCATTGCATCATAATAAAAGTCCAGATGGAACTTTGTTTTTAGCCATTGCTAAATTCACCACTAGTTGGAGAGGCAATCATGTGAGACGTGAAATCTCAAATTAGAAATGTTTTGGATTTATTCTTTAAAATCATACATCCTGTTCAGACTTAATACAGAATAGGATGTGAATGCTTTTAATAATAATGATTCATTTTTCTGATTTTTTATTTTTACATTTTATATTTCAGTGTTTTTTATATTTGTAAATGCATTGCACGGTTTTCACCACAAGATGGAACTGTCCATAGGTTTTTTTTTTTTTTAGATTTAATACATCCATTTGTTTGTGATGTTAATTGTTTTAATTCCCCCTTTTTTAATTTTATTGGTCATCTTTTATTAATGTTGTTTCCATTTGTTCCCATGCCCATTTTGAGCCTTTTAGACTTGTGGTCTTGCTTCCGGTACTTCCTTTGAGTGACGAAACGCGTAGGGTGGAGCTACGACGTGTGATGTCACCACACACTGCCACGGACTGTAGCCATCTTGTTGGTTGGAGACTCTATTCATACCTGCTGATTTCAACTTATGCTGTTGTAAGTGTGTTACTCAAATAAATTATATCTTTGACTGGGTGAAAGGTGAAGAATTTTCTTTCTCTGGTTTTGGTTTCACTTGGCACCATTTTCACTGGATCAGAAGAATTTTGTAGAGACTATATTTTATGTACTATATGGTTTCACCATTATCCTTTTTTGTGGCGATTTGGACATAATTATTTTACATTCACAAGCGCTACACTAAGTGTTTCTTATTTTACTACTTTAACTATGGAGTGTGCAAACTCCAGTGAAAATCACTCTCAGTCTGCTGGGACTTAGTGCGTTCTCCTACGAGATATACAATCTTTGTGTAGGGTGAGTGCAATCATCACATACTGATGACAGAGGCTGGGGTGTGAGCCTGTGTTTGTCAGACCTATAACTGTACCACTATGCACATTACTTGCTTTTGTTGGGATGTGCGTGTGGATCCCCAAGGCACAACTTCCTACTTATTTACTGTCAATGCTATGCATTGGTTCTGACCAATGGTAGCACTGAAAGACACTTGCCATTGAGTTGAGCCTTCAAAGGAGAATGCAGAGCTTGAAGTCTGTTAGCCTGTGTTGCCACGGGCTGACATGTCCATAGTCCAGAGGCTCCTGTGCAGAGACTGTAGTGATACATTAGATGCCAATCATCACAAAAGGTTTCCAACAACAGCATTTTAGGGATTCACATACACTTAAAATCCACTTCCTCTATACACTGATCAGCAATTCCTGATAGCAGAGAATCTATTTGGCAATAATCTTCGCTGAATTGCCATCTTCCTGTAACTGCTCTTCAGCAACCCACCAATTTAATTGTTTTCGAAAAGGGTACATTCAAGGCATGCTGTTGATAACTATCACACCGGTACGTGTGTCCATGTTATCTTTAAACCCAACTTTTAAGCCCTTGACAGACTGGTAAACGTCCCTTTCAGTGTTATTGTGGAACTACACCCTCCTCTCATTTATAGCAAAGTAAGCTGCCATATTAGCCTCGGTTTGATCTGCAGTTGCCAATGTGCTGCAAATGTGATCAGCTATGACACCAGCCATTTGCTGACTTGACAGTGGGGTTGAGAGTAAACATAAGTACACTAGTAACTATCAGTTTTCATTCAAGGCATACCTTGAATGTAACTTTTTTGGAAAACATTTACAGTGGCTTTAGTTTCACTACACGGTTTTAGGGCTAGCTCAAACTAGATGCAGCTCAGTGCACAGTATTTACTATGTATTCCAATGACCCAAGGTCACACTAGTGCAGTTTCCGACGCAGAAAAAAAAAGTAAAACATGCTGCATTTTTTCTGCATAGAATCATACTGGAACATAGCAAACTGCATCAAAACTGCACCGGAACTAAGTGTGGTGTGAGCAAAAACGTATCTTGAGTACATTTTTGTAGTGTGAACTGGCCCTTAACCCTAGGTTCACATCTGTGTGTGTGGTGCCACTGCAGATCCGCACAAAAATCCATGCAGCTGCACCACCCACACACAGAAATGTGGACCCGTGGCTGCCATTAGTTCTAATGGCACGCTGTCCGCACTGGAAAACGCAACCGTAGTGGGAACCGAGGTTCCCGTGCGGGCTGCGTTTTTGGAAGAAGAGCAGGGACTTCTTCCCTGCGTGTCACGGGCACGGGAGTCAATTCAAATGAATGGGCTCTTGTGCCCATGCAAAAAACACGGCCCACACGGCTGCATATATGTGAACAGGAGGTAAAGTGGAACTAAACCCTTCTCTATTCTTTTCAGCAAAGGAAGCTGCCATCTTGACCTCTGATCTGCAACTGCCATGGTGCTGTACATATGATCAGTTATGACACCAGCCATTTGATGGTTTGATAGTTTTACTTCTACTACTCTCAGCATCCTCCAATAATTTTTTTTTTTTTTGCTGCTGTGGTCTGACTCTGTTAGAGGGTGGCTACGTTTGTTCTCTATGGTACTACGGTAAGTAGGAACATAACCACACTCACTCTCTTACTCCAACCTGAGATGGACTACGAGATTTATAATGCATAGAGCAATGCACATGACTGCAAATAACATTCACTGTTCATTCAAAACAACAAGAGTAGGGAGAAAAAAAAGAAGAAGAAGTTCAGGATA